GAAAATAGTATTTGTTGCCCAGGATTCCATAAATAAATAAAAAGCAACAATCATACCAATCCTTCTAGTAAACATTATCCAATCCTGCAAAGACATATCCACGAGCAATATAATGCAAGGAAACATTTATCTTTATTATTTACATTATAATTACAATATTGCTTACAATACATTTTAATATTTTAATTTTAATATTATTTATAGTTGCAATAGTTGTATTATAAAGCTCTAGATAAGCCTGGATGTTTTCCACTACAGTATTTATTATAAATTCAGTTTATAAAATTTGGATATTCAAAGGTCATCATAGAAAAAACCCCTTTGGATTATTCTGACAATTCCCAACAGTTTCATAGGGGCACAATTTGAGTCAATTGACTTTTTGCCTGGAATTTCTGGATGTTGAGTTCCATAGCTGGAGTAGCTTGACCCACACTTTTAGATGCCAGGAAGGCTCTGACAAAAGGCTTCGTTATTGTACCAGTGCAGACCTGGGCTGTGGATGCATCATACCTATCAGATAGATGTGCTGCTCATGCACAGCAAAACTGCCACATTCTTGGTCATTGGGCTCTACACAGATAAACTGCAGCACCTGTGCAGTGATGCTAACAGTGGGACTCTTTGCAGATGGATTTCACTAGTGCATGTACTTGTTACAGGAATAACATTCAACAACTCAGCATCCCTACTTTTGGCAAGCATATCCTCCTGATTTCATCAGGCTTTATTCTGGTTGTGAATATTATCTCCTAAGTTTGTTCTAAAACCTGTGAAGCTTCACCCACTAGCACTAAACCTCCTGATTTTTCAGGGTGCTCTTCTCTATTGCCAGTAACCTCTGCTGCTCTGTGTTGTGGGACCAGTACCTCGGCTCACTTGGCTCTTGTGTATCTCCTAAAGTGTTTTAGTTTACTGATGGACATACTTGGTCCATCATCAATAAGTGCTCAATGATCTCAGCAACTCTTTGTGTGTGTGTGTAGCCTTCCCATTTAGTTTGTGGGTGATTTTGTTTCCCTAGTGCACTGTAACAAACCTCCCCCCCCCCAAAAAAAATTACCTTGAATGCTCTGTTACGTGATTTATAAATGTATTCTAGGTCCAAAAGTCCTTAGGTGCAGGATGTAAAGGTCAGGTGAATGCTTGTTAAGAATTCTGCCTTGCCAAAGAATTGTCTTAAAATGAGTCACTTGTTACATTAACTAAAAATATGAAATCTCAGTGGGATTTGGCTGCTGCCTCCCATATCCATAAGATTTAATCATTACTCATCCCCTTCAGGTCATTTAGCCTTTCCTAGCACCCAGTCATACACGTTTTTGATTGCTCATAACTTCCCCCGAGAGGAGAGTGAAGTGTGCTCAGATTCCTCCAAACTGCTCTCTTCTCTCCAGGGTTTGGTTAGAATGAGCTACCCTGAAGCTCACAAGAGTTGTTCAGGGAATTTTGGCAAGCACAGAATTAGGCTGCAGCTGAATACAGACTGGTAGGTAAACAAGAGTACAAACATTCTCCATGTCAAAAAAAATGGGCCTTATACAAACCTGCCAATTATCTTTAAAGCATTTAGGAAAATCTAAAAGGAACAAAAATATTTTCCCTCATTATGCATTTAAAATTAAGAGTTAATTAAAGGAGGGTGACAAAAAAACAAAACCCAAAAGAAACCCATGTCCTAAGAAGAGGACAACTAAAAAAAATCATGATGGTGAACTTGTCTTTCCAGAAACCAGAAGCTGCAGGCTAAGACAGTAGTGGCCAACAGATTTGTTCTGTGTAAAAACACAGAGGAAGAAAGAGTTGCTCAGGATGTCGAATGCCACCAGCACAGGGCTATACATGGGCCATGCATAATCTGAGGTTAGGAATGGGAAGGCTTCGAATCACAGCAGAAATGCAGTCCTCCACTGAAAACAGCACACGAGTACTTAATCTTTTCCTCCATATTTAAATTTCTTTATCAGTACATGGAAGCCATTTGCTTAGTTTTGAGAAAAAAGAACAGGCTTCCCACATCTGAGACCTTCTGTAGACCATGATCTGCTTAAACCACTTAGGGTTCTCCCTCAAGGTGTGATGGATTTATGAGGTTTTGGCTTAGCAAAGGGTTTTCTATGTCTGGTGCTTCTGAGGAAAGTGCACAGCCATGTTTTGCAGTGAACACCCAAGCTTATTTGACTGGAAAATGAAATTGTTGCCTCCTGGACAGATGAGGTCTTTAACTTAATTTCATTAACCTGATACTTCATGGATACTGATACTCCTGTTAGAAGAAGTAAGGAATGGCTGTTTTCTTGAGTTTATTAAATGAATCTGTGGACCACAAACACCACCAAGTTTCTACAACCATCAGTTATAAGTTTTAATTGTCACCACATTTGAAAGGAGTGCCACATACATTAGTATCACTTGAGAGGAATTAATGACTGCTTGCAATAGCTTTCTCCTGAACATCATAATTGTGCAACATGCTGGTTATGCTTCCACCCCTCCCAGTATATTCAGAGCCAAGTTTATTTTACATTTGTGCTTCTTTGACAACTTAGGACAATATTTATTAAAAAAAACATACAAAAGACTTTAAGTTATGCTAAACCCTATTACAATATCATCCTCCCTCTCATTAGGAAGGGTGTCCATTTTCTTACATCTTTTCTCCCTCTCAGCTTTAGCTGTGAAAGGATTTTCCAGACTTGGGATTCTCTGTTGTGTTTTAAATTGACTGGAAAGTTAGGTACTAACATCCCTCTTGATACAGAGAAGACTACACAATATTCCACACCAGCCAGCATTGTACAGAAAACAAAACAAAACAAAACGGCACGTTTGTCACAATATTCTCTTTTTCATCAAGAATCATAAACACAGTTGATTGTATACACCATGACTGAGCTTGTAAACACCTGCGGGTGTTTACACTCTGAAAAGTTAAAAATACAGGCCTGGAAGGGACCTTGAGAAGTCACCTGGCCCTTCTAAAACAGGATTACATGCAATAACAGAATTACCAAATTTTAAAAGATGTTACAAAACAGAAAGCTATACAATATATAATACAAGAATTATCGGGCAGTTCTAATTACTTCAGTTTTATAGTGTGCTGGTTAATGCTTTGGAAGTTTTGTTCATCTGGATGCATACATACAGCCACACACCCTCTCCCAAGTACTGTGTTGACAATACTAAGAAATAAGTCCCCATCTGCTCATTACAAACAGTAACATTAAGCATTTGTATTCCACCTTACCTGCAGTCCCCTCAGAAATCTACCTCTGCTAGAGATAATTCCCCCATAGCTGGGGAACTCCACAAATGAGCCTCTTCCTTCTTCTTCCCCAACTGAAGAAAGCTCTGACAAATATTATAGCTCATAATCATACCTGCTGTAAGCTGCTGCAGGTCCATGACCAACACAGACACAGCTCTGCCTTGATGGAATACTTATTTGGAATTGCTGGCTCCAGAAACAGAAGCTAGGAGCCAGCCAGGTTACTCCCCCAGACAGGTGTCTGTATGAAGTTTGCATACATGAATTTCTCAGGGAACTGCTTTTCTATTTTTACATGTTAGTCCTAGTGACTCACAAAGCATCCCCGAGTTTACTAAACTCTGGAGTACCTACAGTGGGCTTTTGAAACTTCTGGAGGCTCTTAACACCTCAAGCTAAGATTTCCCTCCAAACCGTGGCTGATAATTAAAACACTGCAGTTTTAAAAAGGCAGACGTGAAGAACAGTGTACATTTCTACTCAAAGGTATTTTCCAAATCAGCATTCCTCAAATACCATGTAAAAATGTATCTAGTTCAATATCTGAAAGTTTATTGATTCCCTTTGTGACGATGTGTATTACATTATATGTAGGTCCATCACAAGTCCTGCAGTGGCCACAAACACACTGATAAGTGCTGCATGAGCCACACACCAGCTCTTGTGCTTTAGAGAACTCCATCCAACAGCACCAATTGGTGGAAAATAAATTGTAATTTTATTTTCCTCCTAAATTCAAATAGCAAATAGTGAATAATAGTCCAGTAACAGGAATGAGAAGAGGCAGCAGGTGTCTGCGATAGTCTCAGGGAAATTCCTTCCTTGGGACTGACTGGTGGAAGAAAAAGCATTCTGTGGAAGGCTGTTTTTGCTCTAGTTCCATTTAAGGCAATTTTGCCAGAAGTGAAAACAAAGTAACTTGCAGGTCCCTCTAATGGGTTGTTTAAGATCTCTCCTCTTCCTTTCTACACTTCTACATCTTTATTCATAAGCAAATGTTTGAATAAAATAAGGATGACTCAATTAGTTGGGAGTGTAAGGCCAAACAGAATCGACTTCAGAATACATAAATAATACTTTAGCTAAAGGCTATTTGCTTACAAATGCCAATGTTTTTACAAATTTATGGCCAGGGTTACTAGAGAATACTCTGAAAAAATAAGGCGTTTTTTTTCAGACTCCTATAGTCACACCAAATTTACAAGCAGAGGTGCTTCTCTGTTGTTTTGGGAGTTGATTGTAGTTGGATTTAATCTTTCAATTTAAGTATGGTGCTCTCTCGGGGGAGGAGTAGTAATAGGTAGGCTTGATGTTTCCCAGGACTTCATCTTCCCAGTTGGGGAGGCAGCAGAAGAAGAAAGCACAACCTATTACAACAACAGTGCTGGCCCAGCCAAAGCCATAGGCCCAGCTGAACATGTTATCTCCTGTCAGTGGAATTTCTTCTGTGAATTTCACTGGGTAGATGACCAAGCCTATGATCTGGAATGCAGCTAGAGAGAGAAAGAAAGAGTAAATGACAACGAATGACATGCCAGAAGTGAAAACAAAGTAACTTGCAGGTCCCTCTAATGGGTTGTTTAAGATCTCTCCTCTTCCTTTCTACACTTCTACATCTTTATTCATAAGCAAATGTTTGAATAAAATAAGGATGACTCAATTAGTTGGGAGTGTAAGGCCAAACAGAATCGACTTCAGAATACATAAATAATACTTTAGCTAAAGGCTATTTGCTTACAAATGCCAATGTTTTTACAAATTTATGGCCAGGGTTACTAGAGAATACTCTGAAAAAATAAGGCGTTTTTTTTCAGACTCCTATAGTCACACCAAATTTACAAGCAGAGGTGCTTCTCTGTTGTTTTGGGAGTTGATTGTAGTTGGATTTAATCTTTCAATTTAAGTATGGTGCTCTCTCGGGGGAGGAGTAGTAATAGGTAGGCTTGATGTTTCCCAGGACTTCATCTTCCCAGTTGGGGAGGCAGCAGAAGAAGAAAGCACAACCTATTACAACAACAGTGCTGGCCCAGCCAAAGCCATAGGCCCAGCTGAACATGTTATCTCCTGTCAGTGGAATTTCTTCTGTGAATTTCACTGGGTAGATGACCAAGCCTATGATCTGGAATGCAGCTAGAGAGAGAAAGAAAGAGTAAATGACAACGAATGACATCTCATCTCCAAAAAAAAAAAAAAAAGAAAAAAGTGCCTGGAGATAACTGTATGTCCTTTTAAGATCTGTAAGGATTACCTGTCGTCCTACAGTCAAATCTGCATTCTTACAGAGGTACGTGACTCCTGGCCAAGGCAGATCCCCACGCCTACCTGGCTGCAGCAAATATGCTGACACCGCCAGGTTGCCAAGGCACTCACCTGCATGCCAGGACCAGCCCTGTCCCACAGCCACTGGGATCCCTGAGGAGCCGGTTACCTCCATTTGTACCACAGCCCTGTCGCTCCTCCTCCCCTTGGGAAAGCAGGAAGCACCCGGGGCTCTCAGCTCCTAAGTCTTAGCATGTGACACCCAGGGACAAAGGTGTTCAGTGTCCCCGTGCACTGCTTTTGGGAAAGTGCTACCTGACAAAGGCCACTGGAGCTTCCCTAACCATCATCCCCTCAGAGTGTAAATCAGCCTTCCCTCATTCCCCATGAAAATGAGTCATAAACCAGACCCAGGCAGCTCTTTCGTAAGGGAGGCTCCATCTAGCGTGTTTTTCTGCTGAGGCCTGTTTTACACCTGAGACAACCCTGTCTGTGTGCCCAGCCTTACCAACAACGAAGAGCAAGCCTCCGATTCCTCGCACAAAGTTGAAGCGCAGTATCTCGATGGAGAAGGCGATGACTGCGAGGGCAAAGCAGATGACCAGGATCACAAAGCCAACAAGGTACGTGGCAGCTGCTGCTCGCCCCCATCCTTGAGAAGAAACAAAGAAAGATGTTACATACAGCAGCCCACTGAACTGAAGGCCATTGCAGGTCATTGCAGATCTTTGGTTTCTTTTAATCACAGTTGGTTGAAATCCTTTACTGTAAGAAGCAAAGCAATTGTCAAAGCAATACTGGATGGCTCCAAAGCACGCAGCTGGAGAGCA